ATGTGGTTTCAGAAGCCAGATGCTTTGGGATTGAATCCCAGCTCTACTTTTAACCTGGTGGGTTTTTGTTGTTGTTGTTGTTTTATTAGAGAGAGAGAGAGAGAGATCAAGCATGTGAGCAGGGTGTGGGGAAGTGGAGGGGTGGGGGGTTGGGGAGCACACAGAGCTCAACCTGGGGCTTGATCTCATGACCCTGAGATCATGACTTGAGCCAAAATCAAGAGTTGGATGTTTAACTGACTGAGCCCCCCAGGTACCCCAACCTGGTGTTTTCCTCCTAGTCAGTTGAACTGTTTAATATTTAGTGTGTCATTTATAAAATAGGATAAGTAATAATTCCTACCTCCTGTGGTGGTTGTGCAGGTCAAATGAAATAAAGTGCATGAAAGCACTTTGTAAAAGAACTTTACAAAAATGAGTTGTCATAATAGAGGAATAATATGAACAATGGTGACAGTAACAACAGTATATTCTACAAAACATTTCCAGAATGTGATGCTGCTGTCATCAGGGTTTAGAAGATTACTATGGTGGCTTCTTTGGAATCAAAGCATGAAATAAAGTCTGGGAGATAAGCTTCATGTAATTCTGATGTCAAATTGATGGCTGCTGTCAATGTAAGCAATACACAGAGCTGTATATTTTTGTAAGCAAAGTACTATTAGAATTACACAAAACTGGGAAGAATCTTGATTTTCCTCCTCCTCCTTTTCCTCTTCTTCTTTTGTCTTGATACTTGAGTCCTTAGTTACTCTGGTGATAAATGGGTTGTAAATGCTGAGCCCATAATCAAACATGCAAGTGGGGGTACTAGGAGAAAATAGGCTTGCAGTTATTAGCATGTTATTTTTGGAGGAGCTAATATAGAAGAGGAGTGCTTACACTTAGAATTAAGTTCTGTTTTACAAGATGTAAAATCGCCTTATCAAGCATGAAGTGCTAGTTCACTCCAAATCCAGTAAAAAAAAAAAACAAAACCCAGAGTTAAAAATAATTATATTCTCCACCAGCTCAGATAGCACCAACTATTTCCCTGCCTAATTAATCCCACAGGAACTCAGAACAGGTGGTCAGTGGGAAAATGCTTAGGAAATGCATTCTGGGTTGGGGTTCCAGAAGGAAGAAGTATTGTTAATGTTGTTCATTTTTCTTCTAAAGCCTGAAGGCATGCATGTGAACAGTGTTTAACCTAAAGGCCTAGCAGAATGTTTTGTGTCTTCAGGAGGTGTGTTTTTAAGAGGCAACAAGTAAAGGAGGCAACACATCTGTTGGCATCAGCACTACGGATCTGTCATTTAGGACACTATGCTCTCTTCACTTTATTGTGTAGAAGCAGAGGCAGGTGGGAAGGTCAGCACCTTCTGTCTCAGTACCAGAATGCATGGGGCCAAATTGCCTCTCTGAGGAACGGGGGCATTGATGCTGGTGTAGTCACTCGAAGATGGTTCATATTCCAGCTCCCAAGAGTCAAAACGGAACTGGCTTTGCCTTTTATGCAGCAACACATCACATGCCGCTTCTTGCTTTATTCAGCTTTATTCAGAACTGACACCAACAAAGCTAGATATGCTTGTGAACCTGTGGTAATCCTCTATGTTTTCAGTGAGTTATACTACTGCTGTGGAAACAATGCAGTTACAGAGAAAGCATGTGGTTTCAGAAGCCAGATGCTTTGGGATTGAATCCCAGCTCTACCTTTTAACCTGGTGGGTTTTTGTTGTTGTTGTTGTTTTATTAGAGAGAGAGAGATCTAGCATGTGAGCACGGGGTGGGGAAGTGGAGGGGTGCAGGGTGGGGAGGGGTAAGGCTAACTTTCTAGGCTCAAGAACTTAGAGCACTGACCTGTTTTTTTTCAAGGAAGTGCAGTTACATATTTTATCGACCTGGCCATGGAAAGACAGGAAGGAATGGAACTGAATTAAATATCTACTCTGATAAATCACAGTTAACACATTCCCCTTCTACTTCTGTTTTTCGTCTAGTTAGTGCTCAAGTGCTAGTTAAAAAAAGGCTAAAAGTCCACTCTGGAAAACAGTATGGAGGTTCCTCAAGACATTAAAAATAGAGCTACCCTATGATCCAGCAATTTCACTACTAGGTATTTACCCTAGAGATACAGATGTAATGAAAAGAAGGGACACGTGCACCCCAATGTTCACAGCAGCAATGTCCACAATAGCCAAACTGTGGAAGGAGCCAAGATGCCCTTCAACTGACGAATGAATAAAGAAGATGTGGTTTATATATACAATGGAATGTTACTCAGCCATCAGAAAGGATAAATACCCACCATTTGCATCGACATGGTTGGAACTGGAGGAGATTATGCTAAGTGAAGTAAGTCAAGCAGAGAAAGACAATTATCATATGGTTTCACTCATATATGGAACATAAGGAATAGTGCAGAGGACCACAGGGGAAGGGAGGGATAACTGAATGGGAAAAAATCAGAGAGGGAAACACACCATGAGAGAGTCTGGACTCCGGGAAACAAACTGAGGGTTACAGAATAGAGGGGGTGCGGGATGAAGTAGCCGGGTGATGGGTATTAAGGAGGGCACATGTTGGGATGAGCACTGGATGTTATACGTAACTAATGAATCACTGAACACTACATCAAAAATGAATGATTTACTGTATGTTGGCTAATTGAACATAATAAGAAAAAGGCTAAAAGTTAAGATATGAGTTTTGTCTGCCATTAATTGGGTACACTTACCTGTAATAAGCATGCCATGATTGGAATCGTAAACCATAGAATAAATCTGCATGTCTCCTGGTCCTCCATGGCTGTCATGGAAGACTTGTAATAGCGAAAGAGTCTGTACATCCCACACCCTGAAAACCTGGGAGAAAAAGGGACACAGTTCACCACTTTTATACCTTCCGTTCCCCACTCAAAGTTATTTAGGTGAAGCATTTTCAAAGTCCACGGTATGCTCTTAACAACTTGCAACAAGTATGATTTATGTGATGAGCACACATTTGTTAGACTCCGATTTGGTCTTGGTTCGATTATTGTTTGTTAAATATCAAAGAAATATAGCAGCAGTGATTACAGATTTGCTTAAAGGAACTGGATTTTTCTATCACTACAGAGAAATACAGTATTTATTATTCTTTAAGAATTTGGAGGACTGATCATGACTTAGAGTTCAAATGAAGCCACATTTCTCTCTACACTATGGATTGGAAATTAGAAAGAAGACGTATTTTAAGTGGAAGGTTTCAGATTGTTCTTTTAGGACTTAAGAAGATAGAACATCGGGGCGACTGGGTGGCTCAACTGGTTGAGCATCCGACTCTTGATTTCGGCTCAGGTCATGATCTCAGGGTTGTGAGATCAAGCCCTGCATCGGGCTCTGTGCTCAGCGTGGAGCCTGCTTGAGATTCTCTCTCTCCCTCTCCCTCTGCCCCTCCCCCCCAATTGTGTTCTTTCTATAAATTAAATAAATAAATAAATAATCTTTTTTAAAAAATAAAAAGATGGAGCATCTTACTAAATGAGGTTTCTAAGTGCTTCTCCCTCCTCTTGCCCAGGGATGTAAGAATACAGAAAGCAGTTTTTAGGGATGGGTTAGCTATGGTAAGAGTGTGGGGAACTAGGTTATTTAAGTTCTCCTTTGAGAAAGGAAAGAACTATGTAATTACTTAAATAGAGCTTGGGTTATTACAAGAGAATAGAAAGAACAATAAAGTACAAATTCAGCAGAAGTAGGTCAAATTTACTCTTTGTCACTTGAAATAACTGGTCCATCTTAGTCTTCTTCATTATTCTGTTTTTGTAAGCAAGTTGTAGTGTGATTGAATTTCAGAAAGAAGTGTGATTTGATCAAGGTGATGTTTTCTAGCATGCATCCTTAAATAATATTTTCATTTTATAATTGTCATTATTAGCCTATTAAATTGGAATATTTGTTGAGTAATTGAGTGATCACTGTAGAACTAGATATAAAACTTTAAGTAGTTTTGTTAACAGGGAGATACTGACTTCTTGAGACACTTGTAATTGAGTTCAAAACCTCACATGTTCTTATATGTAGGAGCATAAAGATGTCTAAGTCACGTGATTTAGGGAACACTGGTAAGGAGTTTGGCCTCAAATGCAGATCCTCGGTAGGCTGGTATTACTCAGAACCTGTACAATTGGAAGTTACTTCCTTAGTTTCAGTAAAAATGCAAATTTGGGGTAGTAGCTTGAATATTGAACCTTATCAGTCTTTTGTATCATAGGGTAAGCAAGTATAACGGACTATTTATGAATTTAGGTTCAGAGTCCAGAATGAGAGACAAGTAGGAGAAGAACCTGAAAGTAGAATCAAGGAGTGCCAAAGAAATTTGTCTCTATTCAAATTGTTTCTGACTGTATTGCTTTGGCTGAGATGCATTCAGGGTTGGCAGGCTTTTTGCTGTATGTATGTGCTCTGAATTGTGGTTGCTGGAAAGAACAAGGGATGGGACAGAAGAGGATTTGAGTTTCAGTTCTAGCACATCACTTAAATTCCTGGAACCTCAGATTTCTTGTTTCTAGAGCAGACATACATACAATACCAGCACTCTGTTCTTCACTGAATTGATGTGAGCAGGTTTTTAAATCTGTAATGTTTTCTGTAGAGTAGTACTATTTTCTTTTTTCATATTTCTCTCTTCTTCAGTGTTCAGTGCTTTAGGTGTTTTGTGTGATTTTAGGGGTGACTATTGGGCTGGCAGATCCTGCTGTCCCTGTCCTGGGGTCCCACGTGTCATCTCTGTCACTGTCATACCAAACTGCTCCCCATTTCCAAAACCCTCCATCTCATTCTGGTCTCTGTGAATGCCACCTACCCTTCCTATCATCTACAATTTCCTTTCAACATCCCTCACTGTGCAGTTAACTGCTACTCTTTCCTCAAATCTGTTATAAGGAGAATTAAGGAGTCACCGTTCAATAGGTTTATGCCTTGATGTGCCATTTCTTCTCCAAACACAGAGAAATAGTAAAGAATATATAAAAAAGAGAAAGCAAAAAGAAACAGCAAGCCTTCAAAGCAAGACACATATCTCTAAAGATCCAAGCAAGAGAGACGCATAACGTGAAGGAGGGGCTGCATCAGAGGTGTGTGCCCAGGCTCTGACTGGGCAGAGGCAGCTGGAGAGCCGCCCCAAGCAGATGGGACCAGAGGCACCTAGCATTCCATGGCAGAGCCTGGAGTAGCTTTCTAGTTCAGAACAGTGAGACTGAGCAGCTATAGATTTGCTTTCATCTGGAGGCACGGTCTTTAGAAAGTTGTGAGACCAGTGAGCTAGGAGGACACTGCCTTTGACCAGGAACTAAACCAAAACCACTTCTGGCTCAGGAACTAGACCTATTTCTAGACTGCAGCCCAAGGGTCCAGGTGGGGGAAGGTTACGGATATGGAAGAGGAAGCATAGAGACATGTGGTGAAAGAAACTATAATTTTTAGAAAAACTTAGAGGAGGACATCTTTATGAACTTGAGTTGAAAAAGATTTCTTCAATAAGCACAAAAAGCATGAGCCATAAACGATTGATATGTTTAACTAAATTAGAATTAAAAATGCCTGTTCAACCAAAGCCAGAATCACAAAGCCACAAAGGGTAGAAACAAGTCCAATGATCATTGGTCAAGTTGGATACATGTGTAATGTACATACAACAGAATCCTGTGCAGCAGTTAAAATAAATGAACGAGAGCTATATGTAATAACGTGGATAAATCTCAAAATATAGTGCTTGTGGGGGGGAAAGAAACTTCAGTAGGATTTATTCATAGAGAACATTGAAACATGCAAAATAAGACTATACACAGTTTAAGGACACCTATATATGTACTAATGGTATAAAAACATAGTACTTATTCCAAGTTGAAAGAATCCAAAAACTCATCTTTTTTTCTTTTTTAAAATTCTTTTATTTTTATTTTTTTAAATTTTATTTTATTATGTTATGTTAGTCACCATACAATACATCATTAATTTTTGATGTAGTGATCCACAATTCATTGTTTTCATATAACACCCAGTGCTCCACGCAGTATGTGCCCTCCTTAATACCCATCACCGGGCTAACCCATCCCCCCACCCCCCTCCCCTCTAAAACCCTCAGTTTGTTTCTCAGAGCCCGTAGTCTCTTCCTTATGTTCCACAAATAAGTGAAACCATATGATAATTGACTTTCTCTGCTTGACTTATTTCACTTAGCATAATCTCCTCCAGTCCCATCCATGTTGATGTAAAAGTTGGGTATTCATCCTTCCTGATGGCTGAGTAATATTCCATTGTATATATGGACCACATCTTCTTTAACCACTCATCTGTTGAAGGACATCTTGGCTCTTTCCACAGTTTGGCTATTGCGGACATTGCTGCTATGAACATTGGGGTGCGTATGGCCCTTCTTTTCACTACATCTGTGTCTTTGGGGTAAATACCCAGTAGGGCAAATGCTGGGTCATAGAGTAGCTCTATTTTTAATTCAAAAACTCATCTTCTTTGGACAACTTCCGTTGGTCACCCTTCTAATTTAGATATCCCCCCCTGTAGATGCCCATAATACCTGTCTACATGAATAGCAATTAGCAACTGTCATATGATGATTTGCTAAGGGGCCTTCTCTACTAAACTATAACTGGCTTGAGAGAGGAATCACGTGCTATTTGTTTCCCCAGTGTCTTATGTGTTCTCTTGAGTTAGGATGGTTATTTAGCTGGGTTTGGGTCTACTCGCTTGCTATTCTCTGTCTTGGTCCAGGACCTTGTAGGAATTTACAGAGGTGCAGCACTGCATAGACAGTCAGAACTCACACTGTAACTGGATAAATCAATTAATAAATGGGAGAGCATCAGCAAACATAATTTACTGACTCTGTTTTTAGGTGGTCTTAATACGTTAGCTACTTTGGAGGAAAGAGGAGTAGGGATATTAATTAGGCTGTGCTAATTCCAGTCCTCTTCCCTACTCATTTCCTTCAGGGGTTGACAGTGTTCCTGTGGTCTGTATTAGTGCTTCAAAGCCTGAGAGACAGAGTGAAGCCAGGTCAGGCCTGGCGGGGATTAGGAAAGGCCCAACATTTCCGAGAGACGGAGTTGCTATAGAAAGAAAATCTGAGGGGCGCCTGGGTGGCTCCGTCGTTAAGCGTCTGCCTTCGGCTCAGGTCATGATCCCAGGGTCCTGGGATCGAGCCCCGCATTGGGGTCCCTGCTCCACGGGAAGCCTGCTTCTCCCTCTCCCACTCCCCCTGCTTGTGTTTCCTCTCTCGCTGTCTCTCTCTCTGTCAAATAAATAAAAATTAAAAAAAAAAAAAGAAAAAGAAAATCTGAGAGGACAAGTGGCTTCCACTAAGGAAGTTCTGGCTGCACAATGGAGTGTTTGTAAATTATAAATTAAATACTACATATGTGTGTAACACTGAAATTACAAAAAATATTCACCTCCTAGTAGCAGAAAAATAATGATTTCCAAAAAAATTGAGAATGCAGGAGTGAGGTGGAAAGATTGTTTTTTTTTAACATTGGGAAAAATTCAACTGCAAGGCTACAAGGCTTTGAGGATAAAGTTACTAATCCCCAAATATCAAAGACAAGGACAATAGAAAGCCCTCCCCTGAAGCTTTTTTTGCAAGGAATAATTAATAAATAATGATGAAGTAAAAAAGTTTGAAAACTCTACATGTATATGTGCCAGGAGTGAGGATCGTTTTGATTCAACCAGGTTTCCTGGCTTTTCTTGCAAACTTAGTACCAATTGCTATTATCCAAATGCATTAATAAAGTGCTCTTTTTTGGGAGCACCTAGGTGGCTCAGTCGGTTAAGCATCTGCCTTTGGCTCAGGTCATGATCTCAGGGTC